TGCACACAGGTGGGTGTGTAGAGACAGACAGCTGTGCACACAGGTGGGCGTGTAGAGACAGCAGAGAGCGGTGCACACAGGTGGGCGTGTGAGCCCCCACAGTACTACAGACTGACAGACGGGTGGTCGAATGCAATTCTATGTGTGTGCCTGTGATAAACACAGCACAAATTTGTCCTTAACGATAGCCTTCATAGCAAATCTAAAAGATATCCACTATATTATCGGCAGTGCATGTACACCTTGGCTGGCAATGTGTGGTCAAGTGCCGAGTGTCCAGGGCAGATAACCGGTAAGCAGGTACGCACGAGCATACTTGTGTTTACTCACCAGTCCGTAGTGCACAATCTCACATTGTTTCACCACATTTGTGGTGAATTGTGCGCCACAGATGAGTAAACAGGCAGAGGTAAGCTGGTGTGTACCAAGCTTGATGGGCAGTCCGTCCCTGAGTGTGTCCATCACTGGCTTGTGTCCTGCTCCGTCCGCAGTGGGGATGAGCTTTAGGAGCTCCTGCGCGCCCTGGCTGTCACTGTGGTGTCCCTGGGCACGTAGGCACCTCCTCCCCGACCCTCAGTCACACAGCTCTGAGAGCGAAGCCTGAGCCCCGCTTGTCAGTCACAGGCAAGTCCACACAGTTACGTTGCAGGGGCAGGCTCACGCCAACCGGCCCACTGGAGAGGGGGTCCCACTGCCTGTGGTGTTCACACTCCCCGTCAGGCCCTGCAAGGGAAGCCCTCGCCTTGAGGGCGCTTGTCAGCAACAGTTGGAATCTGACGGCCATGGCCTGGGATCAGTCCCCGGGAAGGTCAGAGGGTGCCATCGGCAAGGGAGGGGCTTCTGCCGGGGGTCAAGCAGGTCCTAGGATGCGCAGCGTGTGGGAGCGGAGTCAGGCACCGCCCGCCCCTCACACACTGTCCCCTCAGGGGCCGAGGAGGACCTCACGCTACGGGTGGCGCTCTACGGCCTGCTGTTCCACAGCTATGCTGACCAGGACGACTGGGAGGGCGGCCTCAAGGTGCTGGACGAGGCCATGCAGGTGCTGCCGCGGACGCCCCACCGCCTGTGAGTGCCCCCCCAGTGCCTTTCCCCGAGCACCCGTCACCCCTCCGCAGCGCCCCTTCCCAGAGAAAAGCTGGAGCCTCTCGTCCTTCCACACCCCAGTGGGCGCTAACCCCAAATGATGAATCCTGTGCCTTCGCCTTCCTGCCACAGACCTCCCAGAGCATGCCTGTGCACACACAGGCACTGACACCCTCACGCAGATACCACTCTCACACTCACACACGCTCACACAGATACCACTCCCACACTCCCACACGCTCATACACACCCACACACACTCACATGCTCACATGCCTTCATACACGCTCACACACTCACACACTCACATGCTCACACACTCATACCTAGGCATGCTCACACACACTCATACACGCTCACACACACTCACATGCTCACACACACATGCTGCACATGCTGACACACACAAGCTCACACATGCTCACACATGCTCATACACATGCTGACACTCATACATGCTCATGCACACTCATGCTCACGCATGCTTACACATGCTGACACACTCACACAAACTCACACATGCTCACACACATTCATATCCTGGCATGCTCACACATACGCCCACATGCTTTCACACACTCATACACAGGCCTGGTTTCACATACACATACATACACACCCATACAGACATGCTGTCACACACACTCACACATGCTCACACACCCTCATACACAGACATGCTCTGCTACACATCCATATACACTCACACAGATGTGCTCACAGTGCTTGCACACATTCACACACTCTCACACACACACACACACGCTCTCCCAATGCAGTTTGGACCAGCTGTTCTCAAACATGCCTGAGCAGAGGCATCCCTGAGTAGGGTTCCATTCAGCAGGTGGGGGAAGGACCCCGAAATCTTCATTTTAACAAGCTTCCCACATGATTCTGATGCAGGTGCTGTGGGTCACACTTTGAGAAACACTGTCTAGATATAAACCAAGGAGAGAAAACATTTCCGCAAACACAGCATCATCGCCACACACCCCGGATGGTACTGGAGGGGGGAGCAGTTTGCCTGCTGACAGGGCACATGAAGCCACAGCCCTCTCGGCAGGACTGCACGCACTCACGCACGCACACATACACATGCATGTACACACGTGCACACACTTACACATATGCATGCGTACATGTACACGCATGCACGCACACACACGCACACATTCACACACAAGCGTACACACACATGCATGCACACATGCACACACACACATGCACGCACACGCACGCATGCACGATACCAGCAGAAGGGAGGCCTGGGGGCCCAGGATCCTCCCGAGAGCCTGTCCCCGGGGGTTCATGCTACAAAAGAAAGCTAAGCACAAACCTGACTTCTCCACTTGCTTAGGATTAGAAGTGCTCACTTCTCGTACTTGCTCAGAATTAGAGGTTCTTTATTATTACACACAGTTAGACGTGTGGTTTTTAAACAAATCCACCCACAATTCCATTCCCACCGAAGGACTTTATTTCCCCAGCAAGAATTCCGCAAAAAGAAGAAAGGGCATTTAAAACTCAACATAAAACCACTAACTCACTCAGGTGCCTCTTTGCTTTATCTTTGTAAGTAGGAAAATGGACAGATGATTTAATGAAGTGTGTGTTCTCTGTGTTTTCGTTCAGTGTGAGCACTGATGTCTTTGGATTTTCCTTAGCTTGATTTTCAAGCACATGGTGATTGTGAAGGCCAAGCTGGGCCAGAACTTCTCAATGGAGATACAGAAGTTCAAAGATGAGAGTGAGGACTACCTGGCGCACATGTGGCACCGCCTGGCACTGAACTCCAAGAGCGTCTACGGGGAGCTGAGGTGCTACCACAACGCAATCCAGGCCCTGCAGGTGGGGGCCTCTGCGGGGGGGGCCCTGCAGGTGGGGGCCCTGCAGGTGGGGGCCTCTGCGGGGGGGGCCCTGCAGGTGGGGGCCTCTGCAGGGGGGGCGCTGCAGGTGGGGGCCTCTGCAGGGGGGGGCCCTGCAGGTGGGGGCCTCTGCAGGGGGGGGCCCTGCAGGTGGGGCCTCTGCAGCTGGGGGCCTCTGCAGGTGGGGGCCTCTGCAGGTGGGGGCCTCTGCAGGTGGGGGCCCTGCAGGTGGGGGCCTCTGCAGGGGAGGTCCTGCAGGGGGGGGCCTCTGCAGGGGGGGGCCCTGCAGCTGGGGGCCTCTGCAGGTGGGGGCCCTGCAGCTGGGGGCCTCTGCAGGTGGGGGCCCTGCAGCTGGGGGCCTCTGCAGGTGGGAGCCCTGCAGCTGGGGGCCTCTGCAGGTGGGGGCCTTGGTGGCTTCGAGCTATTCACTGCGGAGACGATTGGGGAGGCATGGGAGGGCCATTAGGGAGGCTTCTGCTAGCAGACAGAGCACACACACGGGGCTAGCCCGAAGCAAGTCTCTCTTGATAACGAGTTGGTCAGCCTGGAGGGGAGTGGGGTCCTTGTGTGCGCCAGGCAGCCTATGTCGGCGTGTGGGGGCCAGGGAGAGTGGGTAAAACCCCAGCAGAAACGCCAGGGCCTCTCCGGAGGGCCCAAGGGGGGCAGAGGTGCAGACCTGGGTGGCGGCTGCAGAGGGAGCAGGGCATGGGGATATTTGCCGGGCGGTGTGCAGCCGCTCCCTCTTCCCACCCCCAAGAACCTGTGGACAAGACAGACCTTCTGCTCCGTGCATGGGGGCTGGCATGTGGGGTTCTGGGGGACACGCTGGCCGTTGGTGGACACCAGAGCCCATGGGCCTGACCTAAGGATGAGAAGGCCATACTTGCTCTCCAGGGACTAAAACAGTCCACGGTTCCCCAAGCTGAAAGCCAGGGGCCTTTAGTGGATGTCTTCAGCGGCATAGGCATCTCTTGAACAGGAGGTTTGCCAGGTGCTGAGTGGCCTTGGGCTGCTCCAGGGTCAGGGACATCCCTGGGGGTAGGGGCAGGGGTGGGTTGGTCAGGAGTCCAGCCCTGCCAGGTGCTGTGGGAGTCCTCCACCAGGGCAGTGCAGAGGCCAGGGTACCACGGGCACCCAGAGCCTGGTTGGCAGCTCTCGATGGCTGTCTGGGGGTCTTGGCGGGTCTCTGCAGGTCTCGGCGGGTCTCGGGGGGTCTCGGGGGGTCTCGGCAGGTCTCGGCGGGTCTCGGGGGGTCTCGGCAGGTCTCGGCGGGTCTTGGTGGATCTCTGCAGGTCTTGGCGGGTCTCAGCGGGTCTTGGCAGGTCTCGGCAGGTCTCCCAGGGTCTCAGCGGCTCTTGGTGGATCTCAGTGGGGGTGAGGTGCCACCCCCTGACCTGGGGCTAGTATGTCCTGGGGGCCCCTGCACCAGCTTCCTATAACCAGAGGTCGAGTCCTCCCTTGCGATAGCCTGGCCAGGGTTCACAGGGTCAGGCAGTGACCAAAGGGACCAGGACGGCCAGCTCGTGAGTGAGGACAGAGGTGCCTGGGCTGCCTGGGCCAGGGCCTGCCAACAGGGACAGCACTCGGCTGGCACCCTATGCTGCAGAACCCAGTCCCTTCTTCCCATTGTCTCAGGTGGACGATGTGGTTTTTAGTGAATTCACAGGGTTGTACGGCCATCGCCACAACCAACATTAGAACCTCTTCATCACCTCAAAATACAAAGCAAGGGCATCTGCCACCACTCCTCAGCCCCCAAGCTCCTGACAACCACTGATGTGTTTTCTGTCTCTAGGGACTTGGCTACTGTGGACACTTCATACACGAGATCAAACAATATGTGATCTTTTGTGTCTGGCTTCTTGCACTTAGCATGATGTTTCCAAGATTCATCCATCGTTCCTTGTTTATGGCTGAAGAATATTCCGTTGTGTGGATGGACCACATTTTGTTTATCCATCGTCTGTCGATGGACATTTGGGTTGTTTCCACTTTGGGGCTGTCGTCAACAACGTTGCTATGAACATTCGTGCACAGGTTTTCATGTAGCCACGTGTTTTTACTTCTCTTGGTTGTATGCGTAGGAGTGACTTGCTGGGTCACATGGTAACTCTAGGGTTAACTTTTTGGGGAATGGCCAGACTGTTTTCCATTTCACATCGCCACCAGCAATGTAGGAGGATCCTATTTTCTCCACATTGTAGCCAACACTTGTCATTTTCCATCATTTTTATCATAGCCGTCCACATGGTTTCGATTTGCATTTCCCTGATGACTAATGATGTTGGGTATCTTTTCACGTGCTTGTTGGCCATTTATACAACTTTTTGGAGAAGTGTCTGCTCAAGTTTTTGCCTACTGTTGATTGGGTTGTTTGACTTTGAGTTGTAGGAATTCTTTTTTTTTGGTCTAGCAATTTTCAAGTTTATTATGCTCTGACTCGTGTAGTCAAGAATGACATCAGCACAGTCTCAATTTTGATACATAAGGTGATGACAACCCTGACTGATGCCCACTTTTAGCTTCACATTTCCAAAGCCTAGATGTGCCCTTTCTCCATCCAGATACAGTAAAATCAACACTGACTTAGGAGGCGTCTTCCCAAATAAGGTGTCAGACTTTATCTAAGGATGTGTCTATTTAGGGCGGCGGGCGCATCGTTGGCCCAGCTGGCTGCTCTCTTCAGTCGCAGTTCAGTAGTTGGCTCTTGTTCTTAGGAAGCTGTTAACTCCAAGGCTTTTTTGTTGTTGTTTTATGTGCTTTAGATGAAGACTTACAGAACAAATTAGTTTCTCATTGAACAATACAAATCGTTTTGTGACATTGGTTGCCAACCCCGTGATGTGTTCAACATTCTCCCCTTCTCGACCTTGGGTTCTCCATTTCCATTCGTCCAGCTTTCCTGTCCTCTCCTGCCTTCTCGTCCTTGCCCCTGGGCTGGTGTGAGCTACAATTATTATTGTTCTATGGGCCTGTCTAATCTTTGGCTGAAGGGTGAACCTCAGGAGTGACTTCAGGACTAAGTTAAAAGGGTGCCTAGGGGTCATAACTCTCAGGGTTTCTCCAGTCTCTGTCAGACCAGTAAGTCTTATCTTTTTTTGTGAGTTAGAATTTTGTTCTACATTTTTCTCCAGCTCTGTCCGGGACCCTCTATTGTGATCCCTGTCAGAGCAGTCACTGGTGGTAGCCGGGCACCATCTAGTTGTGCTGGACTCAGTCTGGTGGAGACTGTGGTAGTTGTGGTCCTTTAGTCCTTTGGACTAATTTTTCCCTCGTGTCTTTGGTTTTCTTCATTCTCCCTTGCTCCCGACAGTGTGGGACCAGTGGAGTATCTTAGGTGGCCGCTCACAAGCTTTTAAGACCCCAGATGCTACTCACCAAAGTAAGACATAGAACAGTTTCTTTATAAACTATGTTATGCCAGTTGAGCTAAATGTCCCCCAAGACCATAGTCTCCAGCCCTCAGCCCAGTAATTCAGTCCCTCAGGGAGTTTGGATGTGTCTTTGAAGCTTCCGTGACCTTGCCTTGGTCAAGTTGTGGTGACTTCCTCAGTATTGTGTACTGTCTTACCCTTCACCGAAGTTACCACTTATCAACTAGTTAGTGTTTTTCCCTCCCCACCCCTCTCCTTCCTCTTAACCATCAAAGATTATTTCTTTCTGTGTGTAAACTTTTTCATGAGTTTTTGTAATAGTGGTCTTCTACAGTATTTGCCCTTTTGTGATTGATTTATTTCACTCAGCATAACGCCCTCCAGATTCATCCACGTTGTGAGATGTTTCCCAGATTCATCATTGTTCTTTATCGTTGTGTAGCATTCCATGGTGTGTATGTACCATAGTTCGTTTTTTCCATTCATCTGCTGATGAGGACTTAGGTTGTTTCCATTTTTTTTGCTATTGTGAATAATGCTGCAATGAACATGGTTGTGCATATGTCTATTCGTGTGACGGCTCTTATTTCTCTAGGATATATTCCTAGGAGTGGGATTGCTGGAAGCGCCATATTGTTTTCCAAAATGATTATACCATTTTACATTGCCACCAGCAGTGCATAAGAGTTCCAATCTCCACACAGCCTCTCCAACACATGTTATTTTCTTTTTTGATTCGTGCAAGTAATGTCAGGGTGAGATGGTATCTCACTGTAGTTTCGATTTACATTCTCTGATGGCTAGTGATCGTGAGCATTTCCTCGTGTGTCTGTTAGCTGTTTGAATGTTTTCTTTGGTGAAGTGTCTGTTCCTATCCTTTGCCCATTTTTTTAATTTGATTATTTATCTTTTTGTTGTAGAGGTGTTGTATTTTCCTATAGATTTTAGAGATTAGACCTTTGTCAGATTTGTCATAGCCAAAAATTTTTTCCCAGTCTGTAGGTTTTCTTTCTACTCTTTTGGTGAAGTCTTTTGATAAGCATAGGTGTTTAATTTTAGAATATTTCAGTTACCTAGTTTATCTTCTGATGTTTGTGTATTGTTGATTATGGTTTGTATCCTACTTATGCCGTGTATTATGGCTTCTAGCGTTGATCCTATTGTTTCTTCTACGATCTTTATAACTTTTGGTTTTATACTTAGGTCTTTGATCCATTTTGAATTAGTTTTTGTGTATGATGTGCTGTATGGGTCCTGTTTTACTTATTCACAGATGCACATCCAGTTTTGCCAGCACCATTTGTTTAAAAGACTGTCTTTTCCCCCCATTTAATGGACTTTGGGCCTTTGTCCAAGATCAGGTGACCATAGGTGGATGGATTTACATCTGGGTTCTCAATTCTGTTTCATTGGTCAATGTGTCTGTCATTGTACCAGTACCAGGCTGTTTTGACTACTGTAGCTGTACAGTAGGTTCTGAGGTCCGGTAGTGCGAGTCCTCCTACTTTATTCTTCTTCAATAGTGCTTTACTTATCCGGGGCCTCTTCCCTTTCCATATAAAGTTAATGATTAGTTTTTCCATCTCATTAAAGAATGCTGTTGGTATTTGGATCGAGATTGCATTGTATTTGTAGGTTGCTTTGGGTAGAATTGACATTTTCACAATGTTGAGTCTGCCTATCCATGAACATGGTATGTTTTTCCATTTATGTAGATTTCTTTTGGTTTCTTGCAATAGTGTTTTATAGTTTCCTTTATATAGGTCTTTTATATCCCTGGTTAGATTTATGCTGAAGTATTCTATTTTTGGGGGGACTATTATAAATGGTATTGCTTTCCTTATTTCCTTTTCATTGTTCTCTTTATTGGTGTATAGGAATCCAACTGATTTTTGTATGTTTATCTTGTATCCTGCTCCTCTGCTGAATCTTTCTATGAGTTCCAGTAGTTTTCTTGTGGAGTCTGTTGGGTTCTCTATATATAGTATCATTGTCATCTGCAAATAGGGATAGTTTTACTTCTTCCTTACCAATTTGGATGCCCTTTATTTTTTTTTTTTCTTGTCTTATTGCTCTAGCTAGGAATTTCAGCACAATATTAAATAGAAGTGGTGATAAAGGGCATCCTTGTCTTATTCCTGTTCTCAAGGGGAATGTTTTCAGACTCTCTCCATTGAGAATGATGTTGGCTGTTGGTTTTGTATAGATGCTGTCTTAGTCATCTAGTGCTGCTATAACAGAAATACCACAAATGGATGGTTTTAATGAAGAGAAGTTTATTTCCTCACAGTCAAAGTAGGCTAAAGTCCAAATTCAGGGCGTCAGATCCAGGGGAAGGCTTTTTCTCTCTGTTGGCCTTCTTCTCTTCAGTGTTCCCCTGGACTAGGAGCTTCTTTGTGCAGGGACCCCGGTCCAAAGGACGCGCTCTGCTCCCAGCACAGCTTTCTTGATGGTATGAGGTCCCCTGAGTTGTAGGAATTCTTTATATATTCTGGATACTCTTTTCTCCCCTTCTGCGGGTTATCTTTTCAAATAACTTTTTCACTTTCTTGATGATATCATTTGCAGAACAAAAGATTTTACTTTTGATGGATTCTGATTTTTTGTTGCTTGTGCTCCTGGTCTCATATCTGAGAAACCCTTGCCCAACTCAGGATCCAGGTCTCAGGTCCTGACAGGGCTGCTTTGCCCTAGGACCTGAGCCCTTTGACCTCAGCATACTCAGCTTTGGCTCGTCCTACCCAAGGCCCTGAGCTCTTTGACCTCAGCAGGCTCAGCCTTGGCCCATCCTCCCTGGGGCCCTGAGCTCTTTGACCTCAGCAGACTCAGCCTTGGCCCAGCCCTAGCAGGATCAGTGCCTGAGGGCTCTCACCCAATGCCCCTCCCCGTGGTGACGTCCTCATCTGTTCTCCTGGGCAGGTCCCACCCGCCCTGCCACCCAGCGCCCAGCCCTATGCACTCAGCCCTCTGCTTGTGCACCGTGGCAACGAGCAGTGCTCTGAATTTGTTCCTTCTGCTGCTTGCTTCCTCCTGAGCCCCCCGCTAGAATATACATCCCACGGGGGAGGGCAGGGGCCAACCTAAATGTGCAGGTAAGAGCGCAAGTTGCAATGGGAGCAGACTCGCTGGGGACCCGCTCAGGGGGCCTGCCGGCGAGGCAGCCCGAGGGACGGCAGGAGCGGCAGGGCAAAGGGATGTCCTCTACATGCGGCATAGGAAAGCAAGCAACAACACACCCCAGAAGGTCTTGAGGAACCTGACGCAGCCCTGCTCATCGTGACCAGGCTGTCCCGTCACAGCAGGGGTGACAGGAGCCGGCACCGCCGGCAAGCTAGCTAACAGCCAGCGCATCCCAGAAACCAAATCTCCAGCACTAGTTTCTCAGGATGCTGACTTGTCAGGAACCGAACCTCAGTCCCTGTTCTTGATCCCCAAGAAACCCGAGAGTGCGTGGCAGAAGGTGGACTACATCCTGGAGCTAGGTGAGTGGCTGTACTACCAGCAGTGCCCTCTAGAGGACGTGCTCTTCCACCTCACATGGGCCATCGAGATCCTGCTGGCCATGCAGCACCCCCGCAGGGCCGACCAGCCAGGAGGTGAGGAAAGTCCCCTCCGGCTGCAGTACTGTCACGGTCCTCGCGTCCCTCGTCAGCCCTGGGGATGAGGTGGGCTCCCAACAGGTCTGTTCCCCTAGTGCCCCCACCCAGCCATTGCACCATCAGTGTAAAAGGCCGAGTCAGTGTTGGAACCACTCCAGCTGGGCTGATCCTGTGGCAGAGGGCCCGACGCACGCTGGTCCCGGTACCTAATGGTGTCAGCGCTCATTGCTCAGTTCTCCCAGTGCCAACTCTCAGACCCCACTCATGACAGCTGGTGGGATGGGGGTGCTATGGTTTAGGCTGAGGTGGGGGTCTGCTAAGCCCAAAGGTGCTGGGGAGGGGGCAGCCCAGACAACTCTCTGGAATTATCCGGAATCATCGGGAGTTTTAGGAGCCACACTGCCCAGGCCCAACCAAGGCTTCTAGTATGGTGGGTCTGGGCACAGCAGGCATGGGGTCTCTGGGGCACCCAGGGGGCCCTGCCTCGGGGGCAGCACTTGGGAGTAGACGACAGGACGCTGAGGCTAGAGGGGACCCCACAGCCATGCCTGTGGGGACCTCCTTGGGGGGGCGGCAGGCTGAGAGGGGACACCTGCCCTGATGGGCCCCAGCGTCCAGAGCACAGACTTCCCACAATGGGCCCTGGAATAGGGGCCCAGCCAAGAGGGGTGGTAGGCACTGGGCACTGTCCCCTCCGACACAAGGGCACTGAGGGCACCAAGGCATCTGCAGGCCCTCAACAGCCCCAGTGACGACTTGCTGGCAGGGGTGAACGGGGGGTCTACCACTTGCCAGCATGCTCACAGCTGCACCCCTGTTCTCAGAGGAGCACACACCCCTTCAAGCAGCCCTGGAGGGGTCAGACACCCCTCCAGCGATGGTGGAGGCGGGGACAGCATCCTTGGAGAGCCTCAGGGACGTGAGGCAGCTGGATGCGCTGGCCTGCGCCCACATCCTGCTGGCGCTGGTCTTGTCCCCGAGCTCACCCCAGTACCAGGACTGCTGCCTGACAGCGTACACCTTCGTCAGGCACATCTGGCAGGTGAGACTGGCCAGTCGCCAAGGCTGGGGGGCACGCGAGACCCATGCCACCCTGAAACCCACACTCCACCAACCAGAGGTCATTCTAGAGCCTTCTTTGAGAAGCACCATCATGTTGGCCATTGTCTTAGTCATCTGGTGCTGTTATAACAGAAGTACCACAAGTGGGTGGCTTTAACAAACAAATTTATTCTCTCACAGTCTAGGAGGCTAGAAGACCAAATTCAGGGCGCCAGCTACAGGGGCAGGCTTTCTCTGTTTGTCAGCTCTGGGGGAAGATCCTTGTCATCAATCTTCCCCTGGTCTAGGAGTTTCTCAGTGCAGGGACCTCAGGTCCAAAGGACATGCTCCACTCCCGGAGCTTCTTTCTTGGTGGTATGAGGTCCCTCTCTCTCTGCTGGCTTCTCTCTCCTTTTATCTCTTGTAAGATAGAAGGTGATACAGGCCACACCCCAGGGAAACTCCCCTTACATCACATCAGGGCTGTGACCTGAGTAAGGGTGGTACATCCCACTGTAATCGTCTTGAACATAACCTCATCTTGCTTCATTAATCACAGGCAGAGATTAGGATTTACAACACATAGAATAATCACATCAGATCACAAAATGGCGGACTGCCACACAATACTGGGAATCATGGGCTAGCCAAGTTGATACACATTTTGGAGGACACAATTCAATCCATAACAGTCATTCTAGAGCCTCCTTTGGGAAACATAGCTGCCAATTAAAGAGAGCAGAGTCCTTCCAGTTTCGGGACCTTCACAATGTGAGCACATTTTCCTCCATCAGCCTCAGTGCTCTCCCCCTGCTTGGCTGTCTCACCAGCATTACACACCAGAAGAGACGAGGCCGCCCTTGACTCCTGACCAGCCCCCAGCTCCCTCCTCTTCCTGACCCCTTTGCAGGGGAACCTCCTGCACCTCCAATGTCCAAGCCAAGCCGGCCCCGCCTCCTCCTGAACCCCTCCCCCAGCCTTTGCCCCCTACCGCTGCACCCCACTCCGGGCTGGGCGTCACTGCCTTGACCAGGTGGACAGATGAAGTGATGGTGTGTGACTGTGGGCACGAGTGTCCCTGAGGGCCTGTGGATGCAGTGCACCAGCTCACGATGTGCAGCCGGAAGCTGGGCCTGTGTCTGCATCTAGGGTTGCAAGTTAGGGCCTCTTTCTCTCTCTCTTTCTTTCCTTCTCTCTTTACTTTGTCTTTCTTTCAGATTTCCTTGTTAACAGCAGGAAACTCAATTTCAGAAAGCAAAACTCTAGCTGCAAGTAGTTCACCTTTGTTATTACCAAAAAAGGAGAAAGAAAAAAGCAAAGAGAAGAAGGAGAAGGAGAAAGGCAAAGAGAAGGAGAAGAGCAAGGACACCAAGCAGGTACCACGAGTGGGTGGTGCATGTGGCCACCTGTCCTGGCAGCCTTGGCTCGGTGTCCCAGCAGCAGGGCGGGGGACAGGGCACAGACTCAGGCCAGGGCAGGTCCTCACATGTCAAGTGGAGTTGGCCGTGAAGGAGGTGGCCCTCGCCGCTGGAGAAGTGACCTCACACAGTCTTCTGCCCTGGGTGCACAGGCACGGCCTTGGCCTTGAATATGCTTTAGGGATGGAGACATCTCTGGGGCAGGAGAAGAGCAGGTGGGAGCCCTGGGTGCACACCGCATCTCTACCCTGGAGTAGTAGCTGCTGGGCTGGCTGAGGAAGCCGCGTGTCCACACAGCATTCAGAACCAACACCCACCCTGGGCTCTGGCGGGAGTGCTGTGCACTTACGCATCCTGTGCCCAGTGAGCACCACGTACGGGGCCGAGGTGCTGCAGAGCCCTGCTCCTGAGGCACCCGCCTGCCAGCAAGGCATTCTAGATTTGGGCACCCATGTAGACTGGATGCAGAGCACCCTGTGCAGGGGGCAGTAGGCGTCCAGGGCTTCAAAAGTAAAACCAACTTGGCTGCCGTGATCCAGGGAGGGCAGCTGTCGTGTGGGGCCAGGGCTGCGGGGAGCGAGACTCCCCTCAGCGCCCCAAGAATGTGTCTTCCTGAGGCTGGCCCCCATGTAGCTGACTGTGTGGACACAGTTCCTAGCCCCACTTGTTAAAGTAGATCTCAAATTCTCGCCTTCACAGTCTCAAACCCCTGTTCCCGGCAAACGACCTGAGGCTCTGCCCACCAGTGTGGAGGAGTGGGCTTCCTACTCCTGCCCCGAGGAGATCATGGCACTATTTAAGCAGGACAGGAGCGACTTCACTGTCAACCCATCGAGCATCCAGAAGCCCGTAAGTGGACCCGAAGGAACCGCGGGGCTGTGGTGGCCCAGCGTCGTGTCGTCTCGGTTGGTAGCTGCCTCCAGAACACATTCTGTACTGAAATACAGCCCAGGGGGGAGCACACGCATGACTAAGGAGGGGCACATTGTGTCATCACCCAGGCTTTGTCCACCCCGGGGCCCACAGCCCCTTCCCCACTGCCACGCTCTTTCTCCCCTGACAACGCTGGTCGGCCAACACCAGAGGGAAGCACTGCCTTTTCTTCCGCATTCATCCCCAAGAACACGTGCCTAAATGCAACACTTCAGTCCTGTGAGTTCGTTTCCCATTGCCGCTGTAACTAATCATCCCAAACTCAGTGGCTTAAAGCAGCATAAGTTTATTCTCTCACAGTGCTGGGGGCCAGAAGTCTGCAACAGTGTCCCAGAGCAGAAATCAAGGACCACACTCTCTCCCAAAGCTCTAGAGGCGGATCCTGCTTTGCCTCTTCCAGCTTCCGGTAGCCCCAGGCATTCTTCGGCTTATGGCCGAATCACTCATCTCTGCTTCCATCTTCACGTGGCCTCCTTCTCTTGTGTGTGTGAAATCTCGCTCTTCCTCTCTCTTATGAGGACTCTCGTGATTGAATTTTGGGCCCAGCTGGTTGATCCAGGATAATCCTCTCATCTTGAGATTCTTATCTAATCACATCTTTTTTAGACATATAAGGTTACGTTCACAGGTTACAGAGATTAGGATCTGATCTTTGGGGCCATTATTCATCCTGCCTGTTGTTGAGCTTTATACAAATGGAATCATTCAGCACATAATCTTTAGAGCTTGACTTCTTTCACGCATCATGTTTGTGGGATTCACCATGTTCACCTTTGTGTACAGTTCGTTCATTGCGGTCGAGTATTGCCTTGCACAAAAGGACCGAACTTTGTTCACCCATTCACCTGCGGATGGGCAGTCACCACTGGACGTCTGGGTTGCTTCCAGTTCTTGGCTGTTACAAACAAAGCTGCTATGAGTATGTGTGTACACGTACCCTGGTACCCGCACGCCCATGTGTTTGGAGTATAGGCCCAGCAGTAAAATTTCTGGATCATAGAATATGTATTTCCTCAACTATAGTAAAACCCATTGCCGTCGAGCCAATGCCAACTCATGGCGACCCCACATGTTACAGCAGAACTGCTCCATAGGTTTTCTTGGCTGTGATCTTTACAGAAGCAGATCGACAGGCCTTTCTTCCACGGCATCCCTGGGTGGGTTCAAACCGCCAACCTTTCAGTTAGTAGACAAGTGGAAACAGTTTGTGCCACCCAGGGATGTTGACAAACTGACTTCCAAAGGAGTTGTACCAGTTTCCATTACCACCTTCAGCGAGTGAGAGCTCCCACTGCCCCACATCTTCGCCAAGCTAGTGTTGTTGTTCAGCTTTTTAGTTCTGGCCGTTCTGGTGGGAGCACACTGCTTTAAATGGACACTTGCCTGATTACAGTGGGGTTGAACACCTTTTCACATGCTCACTGGCTATTGGGATGTTGTCTTCTGCAACGCGTCTGTTCAAATCCTGTGCCCACATTGTATTAAACTTTCTGTCTTTTCCTTATCGATTGGAGGAAATTCTTTATATATTCTGACAGGAACGCTGTAACGATTATATGAATAGCAAACCATCTTCTTCTACTTCGTTGCTTGCCTCTTAACTCTCATAATGGGGTCTTTTAATGAATTGTTGTTGTTGTTAGGTGTTGTCGAGTCGGTTCCAACTCATAGCGACCCTATGTACAACAGAACGACAAACTGCTTGGTCCTGCACCATCCTCACAATCATTGCTATGCTTGAGCCCATGGTTGCACCACTGCGTCAATCCATCTCGTTGAGGGTCTTCTTCTTTTTTACTGACCCTTTACTTTACCAAACATGGTGTCCTTCTCCAGGGACTGATCCCTCCTGATAACATGTCCAAAGTATGTGAGACATAGTCTCACCATCCTTGCTTCTAAGGAGCATTCTGGCTGTACTTTTTCCAAGACAGATTTGTTTGTTCTTTTGGCAGTCTGTCTTAGTCATCTAGTGCTGCTATAACAGAAATACCACAAGTGGATGGTTTTAACCAAGAGAAGTTTATTTCCTCACAGTTAAAGTAGGCTAAAAGTCCAAATTCAGGGCATCAGCTCCAGGGAAAGGCTTTTTCTCTCTGTCGGTCTTCTTCTCTTCAGTGTTCCCCCCGGCTAGGAGCTTCTCTGCACAGGGACCCTGGTTCAAAGGATGCACTTTTCTCCCGGCACTGCTTTCTTGATGGTATGAAGTTCCCCGTCTCTCTGCTCACTTCTGTCTTTTATATCTCAAAGGATTGCCTCAGTACACCATCCAATCTTGTAGACTGAGTCCTGCCTTACTAACACAACTGCCACCCATCCTCCCTCATTAACATCATAGAGGCAGGAGTTACAACACACAGGAAAATCACACAGTACCAGGAATCATGGCCCAGCCAAACTGACACACACATTTTTTGGGGGGACATAATTCAATCCATGACATCCCACCCTTTGGCCCCCCAAAAATCACATCCTTGCAACATGGAAAACATATTCACCCCATCATATCATACCAAAAGTCTTAACTCCAAGTCCAAAATCCAAAAATTCCTCTTTATCTGTGAAATCTAAAATACAAGTTATCTGCTTCCAAAGGTACAATGGCAGAACAGGCACAAGCTAGACATTTCCATTACAAATGGGAGAAACTGGCGAGAAAGAAAGGATAACAGTCACCGAACAAGTCAGCAGAACACACTACATTAGCCCTCAAGGCTTTGAAAATAATTCTCTGTTCTCTGAGACAATTTATACAATAGCCCTGACCTCCAGACTCTAGGCATTGGCCACAGTCTCTGGATTTTGAATGGAAGCCCCTCAGCCCTGGGCTTCAGCTCCGCCTTCCAGGCCCACTGGAACAGCAACTCTGCTCCCTTGGCTTTAGGAACACCATTCTCTTAGTCCATCGGAGTGACAACTCCACGCTTAGAAACACCAGAGGCTATGGCTCCACCCTTTGAAACCCCTGAGGTCATGGCCATACCTTTTGAGACCGAGGCAGGTCAGCTTGTGTCCCTTGTCTCTTCAGCTTGTTTTCTGGTTGATTGGCCTCTTGGCTCCTCAGGCCTCATGCCCACATCTGCCCTGCTGGCGCAAGTGTTCCAAAGCTAGGTAGCTCCACCAATAAGTGCCCAGAGGCACCCCACTCCACCAGGAAACGTCATGCACACAGCCACTCAGCTAGCTTGCTCCGTGGGTTGGCAAGCCTAGCTCCACTGATAAGTACCTGGAGGCACCCCACTCCTGGTACCAAATGTCTTAGGCTGGGTTCTCTAGAGAAGAAAACCAGTAAAGCATATAAATATATATGCAGAGAGATTTATATCAAGGAAATAGCTTGCACAATTGTAGAGGCTAAAACGTCCCAAGTCTACAAATCAGGGTAGAGGCCCCTCCCAGTTCACGTAGCTGCAGAAGCTGGTGAACCCAAGGTCAGCAGGTCGGAGAGGAGCTCCCGCTCATAGGCTGTGGAGGTCAATGAATTCCAAGATCAGCAGACAAGACCACAAGGTTTCTCCTGATTCACGTAGCTGCAGGGGCTGGCGAACCCAAGGTCAGCAGGTCAGGGAACCAGACTCTTGCTCACAGGCTGAGAAGTTCGACGAATTCCAAGATCAACAGGTAAGCTGCTAGCTCAAGTCCCACGAACCGGAGGTGAGACAACAAGAGGCAGCTGCTGAGTCTGGAACAAGCCAAAAACCTTGGCAAGGCGAGCAGGCAGAAGGTAACCGGCAGAAGGCAGAGAGATGAAGCTGAGAGGGTGGTGAGCTGCCACAGGCCCTGCCTCCGCCAGTACCACTCAGCAGATTCCATCATGGGGGTGATCACAACATTATACAACTGCTAAAACACGGAGAATAATGGTCTAGCCAAGTTGACATACAATCTTAACCATCACATAGTCCATGGTATATTCAATATTCTTTGCCAACATCATGATTCAAAGGCATCATTTCTTCTTCAGTCTTCCTTACTTAATGATTAGAGATTCTTAATTTTAATGTAATGAAACTTATTAATCTTTTCCTTCGTGATTAGGGCTTTTCTGTGTGTTCAGTTAAAAAAGAGAAAGGTTTTCTTCTCAAAAGTCATGGAGATATTAGATTATTTTTCCAAAAGCTTCATAGTTTTACCTTTAAGATTTAAATCTACAATCTACCTGAAGTTGATTTGTGTGTGTGGTGTGAGATACGGGATCAACTTTGTGTTTTTAAATAAGGAGATCCAATTGTCCCACCACCATTGATTGAAAAAGTCACTTGGCCCCTCTTCTTTGCAGCGCCCCATTTGTCATGAATCAAGTGTTTCTGGGCTGTTCCATTGGTTTAATTGTCTATCCCAGCACCAACATCTCACGGTCTTAATTACTGTAGCTTTATAACCTTGAGTGTTGTAGAGAAAGTCCCACCACATTGCTCTTCAAGAAGGTCTTGGCTAGTCTTTGCATTCTGCATTGTGTTTCCATATGTATTTTAAAATCAGCTTGTCAAGTTTCATCTAAAAAAAAAAAACTGACAGAGAACAGTATTGAGTCTTCCAATTCACGAATGTGATGCATCTCTTCGTTCATTTAGGTCTTCTGTAATTTCTCTCGATAATGGACTAGTTTTCTGCAAACACAGTTGAGCACGTGTTGTGTGCCTGGCACTGTGCTTACCCTGTGAAGGATAGAGTTCTTTGCAAAAAGACCCAGAAGCTAATGGGCTCACATTCCTCCCCATTCTCTGACCTTACGTGTCGGTTGTGTGTTTATGCAGACCTACAGTTTATATTACCTGGACCACTTGGTCAATGCCCTGAAGGAGATGTTCCTTCATGAGCTCACGATCCCAGTTCTTCAGTTGGGTGTACTCATCGCGGACTCCGTGGTGGAAAGCAAGAGCCTTGCAGACCTCTACCACCTCAGGTCAGTACAGCTGCCTGATTTCAAAACCAAACCAAACCCGTTGCTGTCGAGTCGATTCTGACTCATAGGGACCCTGTAGGACAGACTAGAACTGCCCGATACGGTTTCCAAGGAACAGCTGGCGGATTCGAACTGCTGACCTTTTGGTTAGCAGCCAAGCTCTTAACCAGTGTGCCACCAGGGAGACTGGAAAACATTTAAGTGCTAGATGATTGAAAATGTCCTCAAAGCAATATAAGAGCAAACAGCCTTTTTTAAAATTAGTAGTGTAGTTGACTATATGTGTAAATAATAGTCTCTAAAATTTGTAAAGTCAAACAAATCAAAATAATTGAATATTTTTAAAATGATATTTTTATTTTGGATCTTCTACCTGATCTTAATAATTGTACTTTTGTTATTAAGAGAGTGTCCTTGTTTTTGGGAAGTGCACACTGAAGTGTTTAGGAGTAAAGGGGCATGATGTCTCAACTCACCTGCAAATAGTTTAGAAAAAATATGTGTGCGTGTGTACGCGTGTGTGCGTGCATGCACACACGTGTGGAGAGGAGGGGGAGAGAATGATAAAGTAAATGTGCGTGTACACACACGTGTGGAGAGGACAGGGAGAGAATGATGAAGTGAGTGTGGGTGTGTGTGCACACATGTGTGGAGAGAGGAGGGGAGAACGGTAAAGTGAATGTGGTAAGGTGTTCACAACCAGGGAAACTGAGTGAAGAATGTGTGAGAATTCTTTATAGTGTTAGTGCAATTTTTCTGTAAACCTGAAATCATTTCAAAATAAAGTTGTTTTAAAAGTATCATATCAGAGCTTGTCTGCTTGAAGTTGAGATGAGGGGGCCAGAGCCCCACCAGCTGTGCCTGATCCTTACCTCTGATGGTGACTCTGAGACAATACAAATGTATTAAATAAATACATGAGTAAATGATTTTAAAATTTCTATCTGAGATTTGTCAGAGCCATCTGTCTTTTCTAGTAATTTCACGTAGCTTAAAAAAATCATTAAAAATATAACCAAATTGTACATTTATTTTTGAAGTTTGCCAATTTTTACACCGTATGCTGAAACAATTCCCACAGTTTCATTTTCTGGCTTACTCTCTGCTCCATAACACGTAAATTCCTCTTAGACTTGCACAAGTGTGTCACGATTTGAAGCTGAGAGAAGCAGCCACCTACCACGAGGAAGTGGTTGGGCAGACGTACATCGGCGAGATGGAGCAGGCGAGGTGTGTTTGCTGTGACACCGCGCGGGCCTCTGTGGTTTAGCTTAAAGCAGGCCTATAAAGATGAGTGATCGGCCCACTGGCACGCTGAGCTAGGAACTGGGACAGCGTGCCCTGAAGTAAAGCAAGTTAGTGGACCACGGGCTTTGTCCGCTGACCACTCGGCTCCACGGTGCCGTCTGCTCCCAGCTCAGAAAGGGATGGGAGGGAGGCTTCTCGTACGGTGGGGTGTCCTGGGCAGGCCATGTACCCCTCTGCCGAGCACGGACAGGGCATGTGCACGGAAGTGCCCTTGGGAGCTGGCGTGCACCCGTGTGCCGTCCGAGTGCCAGAGCCACCCTCACTGTTTCACTCAAGGAACGGGCGTCTGGTCAAAAGATGGGTTCTGTGGCCCGCTGCTGAGAGGTGCGGTCAGGGGCAGCCGGAAGGTAACCCCAAGCCAGGCAGGGCTAGGTCCTCCCACGAGCCTTTCTCCCAGGGCTCTGCCTACCCACCTACCTGCTGCAGTCAGGCCCCCACCTCCAAATACCTCCACCCACCTCTGTGTGGTCAGGAGGGCCTGTGGGTCCCCTCCATGCCCCACCTAAGCCCCTGGGCAGGTGTGGGGAGGCACAGAGCCTTTGGGGTCACCAGAAGCAGCCCTGCCGCTCCACTGAGTCTCCTAGAAGCCTTGCCATGCTGGATAGTGGGGCGTTGGGAGGACCCTCAGCCCAGAGCCTGGGGGCCCAGCGGGGGGTGGGGGGTTGTTGCATATAAACGCTCCAGCCAGTGGTCAGGGAAGTCTGAACGTGGTGGAGGATGGGGAGGGGCATGGGCAGGACACCCAGGGGGGTCAGAGGCCTGAGCAGGAGAGAAAGGGGGCCTTGCTCAGAGCAGAGGGTGGGGAGGTGGGGGAGGGCAGTAGGCTGAGAGGTTGGGCAGGGTAGGCGTGGGGGGAGCCTTGCCTGGCTCCTGTTGCAGGGTGAGCGCTAGAGGGTTGAAGTGGGGTGACCATGCTTCCCTTTTCTCAGGACCACCTGGAGCCGGGCTGTGCGGAGCAGTGGGGACAGGGAGGGGGCCCAGGTGGAGCCAGCAGCCTAAGGCCAGGGTGTGGCCAGAGAGTGGTGGGAAGTGGACTGGCCAGAGCTCAGAAGGAGGCCTTGCCTTTCTGAGATGGAGGGACCCCTATGGGCAAGCAGGCGGGCAGGCAGGAGGCAGGGAGGTGGGTGGGCCAGGATGCAGGGGGCAGGGGGCAGGGGGCAGGCAGGAGGCAGGGAGGTGGGTGGGCAGGTGGGCAGGAGGCGGTGGGCAGGTGGGCAGGATGCAGGGGGCAGGGGGCAGGCAGGAGGCAGGGAGATGGGGCAGGCGGCAGGCAGCAGGCGGGCCTCCCTGGAAGCACCCCCTTTGAGAAGTGCATTGACACTGGTCAGCAGAAGCTGGAAGCAGGAGCCTGCAGTTGGGGGGAAGATGGGCTGCAGGAGTAACTGGGGTCCTCTGTGCTGCCACATTATGGGAGTTTTTTAATCTTTGTAAGCACTTTTTTGTGAATAATAGCTTCTCATAGCTGCCTTAACTTGTATTTCTTTGATTGCTATGAAGCTGGACATTTTTACGTACATGGTGGTTGTTGTATTTCTTCTGCTGTGTGTTGTCTTTTTCACTTACATCAGCTGCAGAAAAGAGATCGCCTTGAAAAAAGAGAAAAACAAGGAGCCCCTGCTGGAGGACAGCCTGCCGGTGCTGACCGAGCTGATGGCCCCAGCACAGCCAGAAGCCATCAGACCCCTGGTGGCCAAGGACAAGGTGAGGAGCAGTGCCGGAAGGCCAGAGCTGGCCAGTGAGCCAGATGTGTTTGTCCTCTGTGCAGTGTAGCCAAAATCTTGGGTTGGTGGGAAACCAGAAATGCATGACACGTCCCTCCTGAGAGGTCCTGGGCGTCTTCCAAGAAGATGGGATTCACATGCACAGCAGACTCCGTGGGTGTTTGTCCAGGGCCCACGCAGCAGCAGTCCAGCGAAGAAGGGTGCAGGAGAGCAGGGGCTCCCGGGGCGGAGGTGGCACCGGGCAGGGTGCAGCCCCGAAGCCAGAGAGCGGCCCCTGTGGCCTCCTGACTGCCCATTCACTGGCTCCCTCGAGACCACGGGACCCTCTGCACGGGTTTGCCAGTTGTGAAGTCACCATCCCAGCCACAGCCATGCTCCGAAGCAAGAGCAGCTCCACTCTAATAAAAGGACCTTTGTCTCCACCAGAGATTCAGATCCCTGTGTATGAGCTAGGTGGTGGGTGGTGGCAGGAGTACCATGGCGTTGCTCCCTTTGGGCTCAAGGTGTGACTGCCACCCAGGGCCGCTGCATCACAGGTGCGCTGGTGTGTCCCCCCGGCCAGGGTGCTGCTGACACAGGGTCAGGAGGGAGCCCATGCCGGGGTCCCAGCTTAGGAGTCAGTGGGAGCTGCTGGCTGAGCGCGGTGGGACCAGCTCTATTATCCAATGGAGGGTCACGGAGGACCCAGGGAGCCAGCCCTGGAACCGGTTCTGACGAAGCCAAAGTGGGCTGGTCAGGTGGGAGGTGGTGGGTGAGAAGAGACATGTCAAGGTGCGCACAGAAGTTTGTCAGGAAAACGGGGACGGGGACGCTGGAACAGAGGTGCACATGTGCCTGCATGCGTGTGAGGGCACGAGGTCTGGGGCGCCTCAGCGCCCTCGGAAGCCGCTCCCCAGTGTGGGCTGAGGGCTTCGGTACAGATGCAGCTCCTGCTAAAGGCAGCTTCCGTCACCCGTCGCCCGAGAGACAAGGCGTTGGGGTCTTCGTGTCTTGCAGATACTGAAGGTGAACAGTGAGACTGGGAAAGGCCTGGACGGGGCATCCTTCCCCCTCCTGTGGACCCTCAAGGCGGAGGTGCTCCTGGAGATGGATCTGCAGCAGCCGGCAAGGCTGCTCCTTGCCGAGGCGCGCCTGGCCTTCCAGGTGGGAAGCCGCCCCTTGTCCACGGCCCCTCGGTGGCCCCACCACCCACCCACTCCCTCTCTGGGCAGTCCCCAGTCTGATCCTCCCGGCCCCCCAGGCCCTGCAGCGGCAGGGCGCTGCCCTGCTCCCTGCCCCTCCACTCCTGCTGAAGGCCTGACGCTCGGGAGGGCCCGCCAAGTGTGGGTGAGCCTCTAACAGAATCCCTGCAAGAGCGTCAGGAGGGCCGCAGACCTCAAAGGGCGCAGAAGGCATCGCCCAGCCCACTGCCTCCAAATGCCACGAACCACGAAGGCAAGGGGATAGCGTAAGGTGTGCTGGCCAGAGCACGTGTCCCGACTCCAACGGCCATCTGCAGGGCCCCTCTGACCCCCAAGAGGTGATTGGGTGTCGGAGAAAAAGACAACAGCAACGAAAGATAGCAGTCCGTAGAGTCGAGGTTTGAGGTTTGCTTTGAAACCATGCGTGGGTGAGAGTGCAGGATGCGCGGAGGTGACTGTGGGGCTGGGGACAGGCCGTGGGGCCCATCAAGCTGGCCGCTCACTTTTGTGCTCATCTGGGAACGTCCGTTATAAATAGTTCATGTGCTACCGAAGAGGTCGACAACAAACCTGACCTGTATGTGTGTGTGTGTGCGCATGTGTGTATGTACGAGTGTATCTTGGTACGTGTGCATATGTGTATGCATGTGCATGTCCGTGTATATGTGTGTGTGTGTAGGTGTGTGCATGTGTGTGCATGTATGTCCGTGTATATGTGTATGTGTGTAGGTGTGTGCATGTATGTCTGTGTATATGTGTATGTGTGTACGTATAGATGTATGTGTGTCTGTGTATATGTGCATACGTGTATGCATGTGCATGTATGTGTATATGTGTGTATGTGTGTGCTTGTGTGTATGTACATGTATATGTGTGTGTGCATGTGTGTATGCATGTGTGTATGTGTGTGCATATCTGTGTATATGTGTATGTATGTGTGCATATGTATATGTGTGTATGTATGTGTGTACATATGTGTGTATGCAAGTATGTATGTATATGTGTGCATGTATATGTATGTACTGCTGTGTGTGCATATATGTGTGTGTTTGTATATGTGTATATGTGTGTGTTTGTGTATATCTGTGTATAAATATATGTGTAAATATGTACATGGATACGTATATGTGTGTATGTTGTGTACACGTATGTATGTGTATATATGTATGTACTTGTGTAAATGTGTATATGTGTGTGTGAGTGTGTATGAGGAGCCATGGTGGCACAGTGGTTAACATGCTCAGCTGCTAACCAAAAGGTCACAGTTTGAACCCACCAGCCACTCCAGAGGAGAAAGATGTGGCAGTCTGCTTCTGTAAAGATTTACAGCTTTGGAAACCCTATGGGCAGTTCTACCCTGTCCTTCAGGGTCACTATGAGTCAGAATTGACTCAATAGCAGTGGGTTTGGTTTTGGTTATATATTTGTGTGTGTACATATGTGTAGGTACGTATGTGTGAATGTGTGCATATGTGTACATGTACATGTGTGCACTATGTGTACGCATGTGTGCGTACATGTGTGTACTGTGTATACATATGTGTGCAGGTTTATATATGCATTGTACCTGTGTATGTGTGTGAATGTGTATGTACGTGTGCACATGTGTGGATGTGTGTGCATGTATATATGTGCCTGCATGTGTATATATGTGTACGTGTGTGAGTGTCCCCCTCTGTATATCTTTTGTAGGAGCTTGATGACCCTTGTGCAGAATCAAAGTGCTGGTACCTTCTAGCTCAGCTGGCAAATAAGGAAAATAACTACGGACAGGCTGAGAAAATGATTGAGAGGGCCCAGCGCCTGGGCGGGAGTGAGGACTTTTGGTACCACTCCACCCTGACGCTGGCAGAGACAATCCTGTCCTTAGAAAATGGGGCGAGACACACGCGGGTGAGGAGGGGCCCGTGCGGGTGGGACACACGCGGGCGAGGAGGGGCCCGTGCGGGTGGGACACACGCGGGCGAGGAGGGGCCCGTGCGGGTGGGAC